AATTCAATTCACAATACTTTTTTAAATGAAAAACACTACAATCTCTACATTAAATAAATATGTAAAAATAAATCTCAATTACTTATTTAATTAGGGCATTATAAATATTAAAAAATGTAATGTTTAAAATTAGCTGAGTGCAACAGCCAAAAATAAAATGAAGGCGGAGAACTCAGAATATCACTATAATATTCAGAGTAAAATTATATGTGACTTGGGGGTATATTCTACATGCACAAAGACAAAGAAGGGAAAGCTCAGCATTTGTTAGTGCCGAAAACATCATCAACATCCAATGTGGTGGAAGACCAAGAAACAAAGCATTATTTCTACAAACTTTAACTTATCCTCAAATTGCCCGAACAAGCATCATTACTGACTGAAATTGTGGTTGATGAATCCGCCTGTTCCTTTCTCATCGAAGGTGGTAAACCAAGACCAAAGAACAGTTGATCCAGCTGAACCACACATTTTTGTTGCTGTCACAACTCACCCTCACAATTTCTCTGCTACTTTTGGAATGATACAGCAGATGGATACTGAAGGAAAAAAATTAAAAAAGGTAGTTCTAATTAGTGTGCTTTCTGAACAAAGAAAAATGATCCAATTCCAGTTAATTATCAAAGGAGCTCACCGATGTAAGTCCATGAATTAGTCTGGTATGACATAAACTAGTCTAATAAGTCCTTCTACAACTTTTGTCCGTATTAAAGGATTAAGTGTGACAGTCTTGCACCTTAAAATTATTTGCACATAGTGCTACCTCAAAGCATAAATGATGCACCTTTGTATGTATCCTTAAACTGTCCTTGATCTGGCAAGAAAAGTTAGGAGATAAACTCCAAGAAAATCCATGCCCTGTAATTTTTAAACAAAGGAGTGTTTGATCCTGATGTGTTTGTGCCAAAACCTTGAATCTAAAGATTTTTTATGTTCAAAAGCTCTTCCTTTCCGTGGAGAGACCTTTTATGATTGAGATTTAAGGATCAAAAACATAATAAAGAAGATAACTTGTCCAATATTGATTTCTTACGCATAGAGATAAGGATAAGTTAATCCTTATCTTCTATTTGGCACATGTG